ATAAAATATCGGCAACTCATGATACTTGCTGCGTTTTAAAATAATTGTGTAACAACTTGCCCGTGTAACAACTTGCCCCCCTCTTCCCTATATTGAAAAGTTAGTGGCAATCCCAGCCTAATGGTGTTTTAATTCCGGCCTGTATATCTAATATCATCATATTTGATATACATTTTATTGTAAATATGTATTTTAATATTTTTAAACTAGGTATAAAAAATACAGAAGATGCATAGAAAAACTAAATAAAATACGTAGTATATTTTTTTACGGCCCGATAGGCCGTAATTAGATTAGCTACTAAAATTGTGCCCTAATACCGGCCTAATCTATTTTTATAAATTCTACTTTGTTCTGGCCCAAAAACTAAAGAGTTTTATAAAAATATAACTATTAACTATTTAATTATCAAAATCAATGATCAAAATACTGCATGTAGGTGAAAAAATATTTTCTGTAATAATTTGCAAGCAAATATTGTAACCAATGAATTTCTCAATGCTTACCTGAAACACTAAGGATTGACGACTGCTCTCCAACTGATTGCGTCGCTTGATTAAATCGAATTGATTAAAACAAAAGCTAGAACATGTCACCCCACCATTTATACATAAAAAAATGGCCTAATAAATTTCTCACTAGGATACACATGCGCGCAGTATTAAGTTTAACAAACTTAAGCGTATTTACAAAAGAATTCAAAATTTTTTACTAAGCCGGATTTACACCACGAATTTGTATATATATATATATATATATATATATATATATATATATATATATATATATATATATATATATATATGTATTGTTAAGGTTCCAAAAAACTTAAAGAACCATACAAATTGTTATTTGGAAATAATCTGGTCAAAAAAATAAGTAAGTTTGTTTACTTAAGAAAATGTATAAAATTATTTTTGTCATTAAATATACGATATGTAAATTAGTGGGCTTATAAGAAATGAAAGCAATTTTTGGATAAAAAGTGACAGTTTTGACATTTTGCGGGAAAAAGAAAAATTGAGAGAAAAGTCAGTCTCTGGAGAATTTCCGAAGGAAGAACGGCTGTTTTTGAGAGTTTCGTCGGTGCTGGTGGTAGAAGGGTTGATGCAGTGAAGAGTCAGTGGAATGGTGAATTTTTGTGTTGTTTGCTGGAGCTGAGAAAGTTAGAATTTAAAATTGCCAAAGGGTAGTCGTCGTGGTTTTTTTTCCTGGTGGGCTATATAGAGGTGTTTCGAGAGCCCTGAAAAAGAACCTTACCAGAGCTTGTGTAAGTTTGTTTCTTTATTCAAAAATTGCCGTGGCGAAGTGAAATCTTGCAAGAGGGACTTAATTGACTTTTGAGTTTTTTATATTGTCAGGAACATTTACTGGGTTTATATTTAAATAATCGAAGGACTTAAAATTTAGTATAACAGTATTGTATTTCATAAAAGGTTTGCATGGATAAATGTTAAATAATATTTTTTATAATTTTCTAAATATAATCTTATTTGTTTACTAATTAAAATATTTGTATATTATTTTTCGCAAATCGCCAGGAAATTTTAACCTTAATACGTTTCCATAGTAACCCAAGTAATTTTATTAGGAATTTCAAAGCACCATTTATTTGGGAATAAAATTATCGCGTTTTTTTTTAAATCAATCAATATCTGTCGAATTTTAAACGATTTGCGGAAAAATAGTATGTTTACCTCGTAGGAAAAGCCACATTCCTGGACTCTGTGTTGCTAAGTCTCGGCTTGCGCCTCGACTTAGCAATCTTCACAGTCGTCCAGGAATGTTAAGCTTTTCCTACCCGGTAACAATGTACTATTATTTCTTTCATTTTTGTCCTCTTACCAAAATACAACGAGATCGATATTTAAAGCACGATCCTGATAATAAACTGAGGCTTTGTTGGTAAGTTTTTTTTTGTAACAATTAATTGAATAATTGATAAATATAGATTCTACTTACCATAACAGTATATATATATATATATATATATATATATATAAATATATATATATATATATATATAAATATATATATATATATATATATATATATATTTGTTTTGAGGTTTCCGCGGGAGCTATATGTGCTGTCACTATTTTTCCGGGTTTGACTCCGCGTTGTAAAGTGCTGGTTTTCTCGAAAACCATTGTTTTGGCGACGTTTCGGCAAGGTCTCACTTGCCATTCTCAAGCCTGGTGGAACTACTTCTCGTCGTTACTCGATTAGTACTGAACGTACTACAGTACTAATCGAGTAACGACGAGAAGTAGTTCCACCAGGCTTGAGAATGGCAAGTGAGACCTTGCCGAAACGTCGCCAAAACAATGGTTTTCGAGAAAACCAGCACTTTACAACGCGGAGTCAAACCCGGAAAAATAGTGACAGCATATATATATAATATATATATATATATATATATATATATATATATATATAAATATATATATATTATA